AAAAAATTACTGTGCAATATTTGGACTACTTAAGAGACCCATAAATATGGCACACTCTAAGCTTCATAACTTGTCCAATGAATATTTGTTAGTCTAGTGTCCTAGATCTAAAATGAACTTTATCTACAGACCTTACACCATCTGAGTGAAACCTACATTACCTAAAATATACTCTCCTTAATACAAAAGAACCAACATGTCTAAATATTAAACCCAGTTAGATATACTATTTAAACATTTTCACCTATCTATGCAATATGAAGACAATATAATGACCTAAGAGTTAAGTCTGTACATAGAAGGGGAGGGAACATCAGAGAAGAGCTGGGACAGCAACCTAAGCGTCACATTTCAAAGTGCCGCAGAGCCAAATTTTCTCGTCTAAACCACAGAGGTGCACATTAAAAGTTATCAAAATTCATTTACTCAGCAAACATGAGGAGCAGCATCATAGCATAAAAGAGTACCATAGGACTTGGAGCCCAAGGAGATATTCCACTTCTGTCAACAGGCATGTCTTTGTCTATAACACAAAGATAAGCACCACCTGGGACAATCATGAAAGCAAAAGGCGATAATATATATTAGCAATGTGTCAGTGGGATTAAAATCACCCAGATTTTTTCCCCCAGCTTTTCACAACTGGCTTCCCTTTCAGAGAGTCTGACATCTGAGAGGAGTTGTATACTAAGTTCCCCACCTTACTGTGACATCCTTAGCCTCACCCTTCACTGGCCCAGAACACCACCCCCTCAAGGCCTGCACTGGATATAACAGGAAGGCCACTGCCCTCCGCTGTTTACACCTCTCACTGGAAGGCTGGAAGAGGTGTTCTTTCCCCTACATCTGCCTTTGGAAGTTCACAGGAGGCATCTCAGAGACATTATTCTGTTTAAGCTAAGAACTGAGATTGGCTGAGGGGGAAAAGCAGCCTTAGTGTGACTGGGACAGTAACCCACACTGAGCCCAGGGTGTGAGAAAGGTAAGAGATCGGCGGGGAAGGACTGGACACCCGAAGGTCCTCGTGTCCCTGAGCATGAGTGGATGCTGCCCACATCCGGCTGGCCTCTGCCATGCCTTAGGGCCAGCACAGAGGCCACAGTCCAGACCAGCGCCTCTCCCTCCCTCCTATCCGCCTGCACACCAGCTGCTGGGCACTCTCTCAGCACTATGCCCTTTTCCATCACGGCCTGTGTCACAGTTGTGGTTATATAATTATTTGTGTGATTATGTGATTAATAATCTGCATCCCCCGCTAGACTACATGATAAATTCAGCCCGCGTAAAACACATGTCTGCTTTATTCAGCTCTGCATCCCTGGGCCCGCCGAGTATAGCATCTGCCTGAAATATATAGATACACTTTATTAAATGAACAAATGAAAGCTGGCACTAAGAAGCCAAGGAAGAATCCTGAGCAGGGGAATGGCAATCAGAGATGACAGCTGAACAAACCACTCTGGCAGCGAAGTGAAGATCACATTGGAAGGGGAAGACTAGAGCCTGGACACAGGTGAGGACACTAGTGAAAAATGTTTCCAGAAAAGTGATGAAAGACTTAAAAACGAGGGCAGCCTGCGTCTGGGCAGTGATGAGGAGGATGTAACGGAGGAGACGCGCTTGGGAAGTAGAATCCAGAAGCTCAAAGCACAGGGCGCAAAGCACAGACAGGAATCTGAAATGACTCTAGTGGACAGTGGGAGCAGGTGGGGCACTGACTCACACCAGGAACACAGGGGGGCAACAAACCTGTCCTGAGCATCTCTTCTGGAGTGGAAGATCTGCCTCTAGCTCTGGGATTCTATAAATGAGAAGCGATTTCTATCTAACCCATTGGGATAAAATGAGTATGGTATCCATTAATGGGCAGCAAACTACAGTTCAGATCTTTCACATTTCTTCACCAGGACATTTCTTGGGTACACCGACTACGTATGAGGCATAACCCTGGTCTGGGGATATGGCAATCAAAGAAGAGGCATCTCTGCCTCCAAGGAGCTGACAGTCTTCTGGGTTTGAGACAGGTAACTGCATGACAGTTACTGCATGAGAAACTGAGGCCAGTGAGGCTATGATTTGACCAGTTACATGTCCTGTAACCTGCATTTCTGGAGCACTGATTTTATAACTCCCATCACATTTCAGGCCAACATGTAGTTGAGGGCTTACGTGCTGGGACATTCAGACGGACACCCCTCCTCCCAATCTTGCTTTGAGCCTGGAGACACTCCAGAACCGAAAACAACATGGTGCATGGGCAGCCAGTGCCCTCCAACTCTGAAGTCGCTGCTGTGGTCACAGGGCAGCAGTCTGGGGAACAGACACAACCAGGAAGGAGGGGGAGAGAGGCCTGCCTGGTCAGCAAAGAGCCTACCTGAGCAGAGGCCAAACGCTGCAGGTGCCAAAGTAGAATCTCAGAAGGCTCTGGAAGTAACAGCAGAGAAATAAACATTCAGGGAAGGTAGAGCAGGAATCCTCTGTAATCAGGTTCCTCCCCTTCCACCAGCAAGAAATGGTTCCCCACGGGATGGAAGGCCTCAACCCAAAGCAGATATACAGGAAAACAAGATGAGGAAATGATCTGCAGTGAGAATAACACAGCTCCAGATTATCCAGAGCAGACAACACATTTCCAGCACTCACTCATGAGGTAATTAAATCTGAGAGGCTTTATACTGGCCCTTCCCAAACTAAAACAAAATACCAAAACATGTCCTCCCCCTTCAACCCCAAACCTACTGCCCTTCTTTGCCCCCTTCCTTTCCACAGCCTTAAAAAAACAAAAACAGCTGCACAGTCTCTACCTCCTCAGCTTCCTTTCACCCACTTGGATCTAAATTATTTCTCCACCATCTGACCTTGTCTTTTCAACCTCCCTAAACCCTTGGAGCCCTTTCCCCTTTTCTCTGCCTGGAAACTCTACCTTGTCCAAGACTGGTTCAACCATCGCCTTCTCTGTGAGGCATTCCCCAGTCAAACTGCCCAGGGGTTTTGCCTATGCCTCATCACAGCATTTGATCCTACTGTCCTTGTTTATCTCAGTGTAAATATAATTCACAATAGCCTGAAAGACAGGAACTCATTTTTATTCACTTTTCTATTGCCACCCTCTAACCCAGGGCCCCCAAAGCAGACAAAGGCTCCATGAATAAATGATCAGAAGTTTAGTTTACCTTCAAAACTGCTACAAACCACTCAACTCTTCCACCTAAATTGCTCTAAGAATAGACTTGCATACACACACACACTGGGAAGTATCTATATTCTGAATAATCAGTTTTCTTATAACAGCATCTTGGCTAGAAACTCTAAATTTTGGTGGTTAAGCAAACAGCTGGCATGCAGTAAAATCAATTCTTTAGAGTTCCTCATCTACGTTTCTAATTCCTAAAATTCTGACCATGTGCAAAGTGCACCTTTTTCCTGGGCAGTGTAATCAATTCTTAGGCTCAGAAAACCTGCTTCAGAGAAGCAACCAAGCCTTATTTATGCCAATGCTTAGAACCTGGGCTGCTCAATAGCTCCAAAAATGTTTTTTTTCCTTCTATTTAGTTTCACTTTCTATATGAAACACCCATAGTAAAGTTTAGACACACAATATTTCCTGCAACCAGTAAAAATATCTGAAAGCCCTTCAATTTTAATACAGACATTCAAAAGCCTTCATTTTAAGATTATGGGATTACATTTGAACCTTAACGGCCCAATGTTTACTTCTGTTCTAGAAAAACAAAAATTACGTAACTTCTCAGTCCTTGTATGTTTTCTACAAATGTATCTTACTGCAATAACACAGAAAAACTTACTCAGAAGAGCAGAGAAAAAAGGAAAAAAAAAAGTGAAAGTAACTTTTCTATACTAAAGAAAACAAACCAAAAAAAAACAAAACCTGATTGTGCAAATTAAAAAAAAAAAATAGAAAGGTGGCAAAGTTCCCCGACAGGAAAATCTTAAAGATGGAGAAATAAGAAAAGTTAACTCCATGCACCTGACTTTCAATTACTATACTGCTTCAGTAAGTGACTTGCCTCAATAAGTGACCTTGGGAATGTCATTTCTCTCATTTTTAGTTCTGTAAAATGGGAATGTCATCTGTTTTCCTACTAGAGACAATTAGTCGAATAAAAGAACCAATGTGATTTTTCTTTTCTTTTTTTTTTAAGAAACTTGTCTAATTAGTTTGCTTTAATCACCACGAGTACAGTACATTCCTCTTCAGGAATCCAATCCCAAGAGAAATATTTAAGCAGACGTTCAGGACAGATTTCCTTAAGGGAATGATTTTATAAATCTGGAGAGCAATGTAACAAGATTATAAATTAACAAATTGATTACATAAGCCTTGACAACCTCAGGCTTTAAAGTACACTGATACACATTCTGATAAATTAGACTGATTTGGAACTAGAGCCTCAACCCCATACAAGAAACCCAAACTGAGGCATTTGGTGTTTGATAGGAATCAGGTGGAATCTAATCAAGACGCGGAACATTTGCAGTTCCATTACCTGCTAGCCACGCTTCACCTTTCACCATAAAACGTGAAACGCATTAAGTCAGCTTTACCACCTGCTCCTAAGATTGTGAAAATGTACTCAATTAAATGGAAGGGGGGGAAATAACTAGATAACGTGAAAAATCCTATACCCTTAGACGTCCAGAAGCTTTAGAATCCTACTGCCAAATGCCCCCTCACCCCTCCAAATACTGGACTTGAACCGAACTCACTATACAGCTATCGAATTTTACCTGACCCAACTGTTAAGAACAGCACAGCTCCAGGAACCCCACTCAGGATAAAAGGCTGTCACTTTCCTGGATCCCAAGTCCAAGCAAACGGAAGGAAGGGTTTTGTAAAACGGTCCAGAAAGGAATCAACAGGCGATGACTATGGAAAAGAAGGGAGGTTTTCCAATCAAAAATTCTAGCTGTCCCTCGGGAACGGCACTGCTCCTCCTTCCTTACCCCGATGCCCTTTCTCTACAGACAATATCCCCATTCTATTGTACCGCTGCAGTTTTAGCAAGAAATCCCCTTGCTGCGCCAGATCTCCAGATTCTTTTGAAAAAGAACAACACCTTTAGTGAGGAAAACACCGTACGAGAGAACCTGGGCGCGGGGAGCCGCGGGCGCCGCACTCGGCCCGCTCCGGGGCGGGGCGCGGGGATGCGGGCACCTCCCGAGGTGCCGCAATCCCGCCGCGGCCGCAAGGGCAGGGCCTCGGGGCGCCCGTGGCCGGCCGCCGCAATGCCCGCTCCCGTGCGGGCCCCACCGCCGCCCGCTGCCTGCCGCCAGGCCATCAGGCCGCACGGCCGCCGCGCGGAGTCCGGGCCGCCGCAGCCCGCGGCCCGCGTCCTCCCGGGCCCGCGACGCGGGGAGCGCGGAGAGCGCAACTTACTTTCCGCCTGCGGCGGGCGCTCGGGCCCCAGCGCCCAGCCCGGCAACCGCTGAGGCCACTCGGCGGCGGCGGCGGCCAGCCGGTCCCCCTCCCACGGCTGCCGCTCCCGGCTGCACTGCACGCTCGCCCCTACCTCAGCAAGCAGGCGGGCTTCCGTCCGCAGCGGCCGCGGCGCCAACTCCCTCCCGGCCGCCGAATCCCCGCACCCAGCACTAATCATAATACCAAGCGGGCAGGCGGCCGCGGGGAGGGGGTGGGGGACCGAGATGCGCCTGCGCGGGACGCGCGTCATTGTGACGCAGGCGCCGGGGCGGGGCCGCGGCGAGGGCGGGGCGGGGCGCACCTGCGGGCTCCAGCGCGCGAGCTGCTGCAGGGCATCCTGGCAGCGCCCCGACCCCAGCGAGTCTGGGCTGCGGCTGGCGGTACGAAGCGGGCGAGGCGCCCGAGCAAGAGCAAGCTGATGAAGGAGGAAGCACTAGGGACACGGCACAATGGCCCAGAAAAGTAGCCGAGCCGTGGCGGAAATCGGAGGGAAGGGACCGGGTCCTCACAGGACCCTGCGTCTGGGGGCGGGGGTCTGAGGGCACCAGGCACTTCACCCTTCTAAAGGTTCACCCCCATCTCCCGCCCAGGTTTAAACAAAGAGCGGGAAAAAAATATACGTTCACGAATATACGTACATATTTTTTTTCCTCTACAGTTTTCTCTGGGAACCCAATTAGAAGGAATTGTTTTGATTTTGTTGCTATTTTTTAAAAAGAGAAAAGCTTAGCATCTGAACACAGCGCTGGCTTTAAAGGTCAGCAGGAGACCCTTGCCTGGCCAGGGTGCCTCCTCTGGAAAAGCGTGGAAAGGCGAAAGGTCGTGAGAAGTATTAAAGCATGTCAAGTCAGGGACTCAGAACATGCCCGGCATTAACCGTGCCCCAGATGGTTCAGCGGCATGGTCACCTGGCAGGTGGCTCCCAAATGGAGCTTAGCGATGGCCAGAGTGGAGAGTTTGGGAGGGTGGGAGAGAAGGGCAGGCGCTCCCATCTCCTATCCTCGGAAGCTTGGCGCACCATGGAGATTAGCTTCCCTTGCTTTCTGGAAATAAGTGACACGCCAGATGCCAGATTCTCCAACCTGCTTTTCCATTTCGGATTCTCCCAGCCCTCCACCCTTCCCCCAAGAGAAGACCCCTAGCAAAAAAGGGCACAAACTGCTGCGTAGAGAGCGGGGGAGGGGGTGAGCTGTTTAGATGCTCCGAATGTGATTAAATCGACTGGAGGGAAAAAAGAAACCTAGATGGCTTGAGCAATTGTCTCTGCCGACCTGCAAACAGCAGAAGCCTGTTTTTTTTTTTTTCAGACTGTCGCCTGGGCATCTATTTTGCATATCCGAAGATAACTGGAAAGCAAGAGTGGATTGTTGGGAGGTACAAACACTCAGAGTAATAAGGGAAGGTTAACGTTAAGGGGGGCTTCCCAGGTGGCACTAGTGCTAAAGAACCCACCTGCCAATGCAGGAGACACAGTCCAGGAAGAGACGCTGGTTCGATCCCTGGGTCAGGAAGGGAGAAGGGAATGGCAACCCACTCCAGTACCCTTGCCTGGAGAATCCCAAGGACAGAGGAGCTTGGAGGGCTACAGTCCATGGGGTTGCCCAGGGTGGAACGGACTCTGCTCTGTGATGACATAAATGTGAAGGAAATCCAAAAAGAGGGAATATATGTATAAATATAGCTGATTCACTTTGCTGTATAACAGAAACACAACACTGTAAAGCAACTATACGCCAATTTTTTAAAAAAGCAAAAATAAAATAATTAGAACATTAGTTATGATGTTATGATGTTATATAAAAGGTATCTAATAAAGGCTTCTTATTATTTAAAAAAAGGGAGGGGTTAAAAGAGGACTCCAAGTTACGATAACACTCTGGCATGGGGTGATGTCACTGGCTGGGAAAAGCCTTGGGCTACGGGCCTCTGCCCCTTGGGGCTGAGTCGAGGCCCCAACCCTGGGATAACACTGGCTTACAAAGACCTTCAAAGAAGCATCTCACTTTGACACACATTCTAACTCTAGCAGTATGTCCAGCAGGAGCTTGTGGAATTCATTCCTTTGTTGCTGAAAAACAGTGGTGAGGCCTTGCACTCTCCTTAGGAGGGTGTCACTGTTCAGGGACCCCATAGCCAAGTAAAGGGAAAAATGCCATTCTAACGGCCTCCCAAGGGAGTGCCAGCGGCTGAAGACCTCCACCACCAGGTCTGTAGCCCCGAGATGGGACAGTCATCACAAAACAATGTCTTAATAGACAAGCCCTTGGAAAATATGTAACTCAGGTTTTGAATAAATTCTATAAGGAAAATGGGACACAAGAATAGAAAAACAATTTTTTAAAAAAGGAACAGAATAATACCTTGGTTTAAATAAAGTGGGCTTGAATTCTCTTCCAGAGAAAGGGCTGCAGTCCTGGCCACATGGTGAATCACTTATTCATCTCTGGTGTTTCTTGGGAAGCTGGAGTGCTGCTGGCAAGAACATGACCCATTTTCAGTTCCACACCATCAATGTGGTAACATGATCTGATTATGCTTAGGCAATAATTTAAAATATTCAAGTATAAATTATTATATGATTACTTAACTTTGAATTTAAGCAAATGTGTTCATTGTTAATGAGAACCCCCTTCTTCAGTCTGCCCTGGGGCTTTCCCTAACCCAGACTGCTTTTTTAATGTTAGGTCTTTTTATGGACCTGTAAGAAGCTTTAATTAGATATACAGCACTCCACACAAATGACAAGATGGAGCATGCGGGCTTGGATTACATTCTCTGTGATTCAGATCTCCGAAATAACATAATGCCACTGATTTAGGGAAGTTGCTGTTTATTGGAAGGCAACCAGGGAGATGCTACAAATTAGGTTAAGATGTGAAAAGCAAGCCTATTCATGAAAGAACTGCCATTTTCATCTTGGGACTACCCCCCTTAAAGCAGCATGTATAACAAGGTTATATCGTCTCTAGATATTGTTAATTTTCATAATATAAAAACATTTCAAATACATTGAAAACAACAGAGACTGAGGATTCATGTATGGTTCAGTTTTGAGTTGTGACATTTAATTTTATGATTTCCTTTTGCGTATTTAATTAGTCATTTTGTACATTGATACTTGTGCATGTCTGAATCCTGGCTTCATTCCAGTAGGACCAAAATAATACTTCACTGGAATGGCCTGAAGAGTTTCTCAAAGAGTTTCCCTCACTACCCACTTGGCATCCGTTAGCATCCCTAATTCTTTTAGCTCAGATGTTTGTTAAGGCCTGTGCATATGTGTACATTCGTGTGTGTGTATGTGCATGTGTAATATATTCTTGACAGTTGCAAGGAAGGACTGAAAATGCCAGCCCTTAACTCTGCTTCTTTGCAACCTGTGAACTGGGAAACATGGCAGACACTGCCTGGTATTGACCACCTGCCCCACCACTAAGAGTTATATGCCCTTGTGGGAAGACTGCTTAACTTTCCATCTGTTTCCTCTGTAAAATGGGAAAGATGGTGATGATAATGATACCTTTCTTATAAGGCATGTGTAAGGCAGCTGTTCTCCAAGTGTGCCTCCTGGACCAGCAGCAGCAGGTTCTCCTGGGAACTAGACTGAAATGCAAATTCTCCAGCTCTACTCCAGACCTCCTAAATTTGAAAACTCGGTGGTTCCTCTGCTTTAAGAAGACTTCCAAGTGAATGTAACATAGGTGAGAGTCTGAGAACCACTATAGATGGGATTAAGGGGGTTTATGTATGTTAGTTGCCCAGTCATGTCCAACTCTTTGAGATACCATGGACTATAGCCCACCAGGCTCCACTCTCCATGGAATTCTCCAGGTAAGAATACTGGAGGATCTTCCCAACCCAGGGATCAAACCCAGGTCTCCTGCATTGCAGGCAGATTCTTTTCCTGTCTGAGCCAGCAGGGAAGTTTTAAAACAGTGCTGGCACAGGGTAAGTAGTATATTAGTGGATATTTTTTTTAATCAGTGGAATACAATGTTGCCAAGATGCAGTTTAATTCAGGCCACAGGAAGGATGCCCATATTCCTCCAAGAAATAAATTCTTAATGCTTAATCTTTTGTCCAAAGACTTTTAACACTGCCTGCCAAACCCTTCATGATCTGGCCCCTGCCTTTTCCTGCTCTTTATCTCCAGGTAAACTGTATCTGTGACCTTCCCAGTTTTCAAAAGGGAAATGCTTTCTCATACCTCCAAGCCTTTGCCCATTCTGTTCCCTCTACCTGGAAATGTCACCCACCCCTTTTCTCCACTTCCTATACCTGGCAATCTCCTGAATTCCTACTTACCTTTCAAAACCTCACTTGAGTGTCCAGGCTCATCTGTGGCACCCCCAATCCTGCTCAGTCAGAGCCAGGCCTTCTCTGAACCCATACCTCCTTGCACATGAATATTTATTATTATAGGGTTTCATAACTGCTAACTGTTCCATTTTCTCCCTTTGGATCTCAAAGGAGATCCTTGTCCAGGAGGACAAGGATTTTATTTTATTCAAATTTCTATTCATGCAGCTTAGCACTAATATAGCAAGTAGGCAGCCCAAGGGCTTAAACTTGGGGCATTTTTTTCCATAGAGGTTCTTTAAGAATTTGAACTAGGTGAGAATATTGTTTTTTGGGTTTTTTTGTGTGTGGGGTTGTATCTTGTGGCTTGTGGGATCTTAGTTCCCCAACCAGGAATTGAACCCAGGCCATTAGCAGTGAAACCACAGAGTCTTAATTACTGGACCACCAAGGAATTCCCAAAAACATTTTAAAATTGGAAGATTTAATTTTTTAAATAGTTTTACTGAAGTATGATCTGCATACCATAAAGTTCACCATTAATACATGGTTATTCAATGTGTGTGTGTGCGTGCTCAGGTGCTCAGTTCAGTTCCGTTGCTCAGTCATGTCCAACTCTTTCTGACCCTATGGAACGCAGCACACCAGGCTTCCCTGTCCATCACGAACTCCTGGAGCTTACTCAAACTCATGTCCATTGAGTCGGTAATGCCATCCAACCATCTCATCCTCTGTCATCCCCTCTCCTCCTGCCTTCAATCTTTCCCAGCATCAGGGTCTTTTCCAGTGAGTCAGTTCTTCACATCAGGTGGCCAAAGTATTATAGTTTCAGCTTCAGCATCAGTCCTTCCAATGAATATTCAGGACTGATTTCCTTGAGGATGGACTGGTTGGATCTCCTTGGAGTCCAAGGGACTCTCAAGAGTCTTCTCCAACACCACAGTTCGAAAGCATCAATTCTTCGGCACTCAACTCTCTTTATGGTCCAACTCTCACATCCATACACGACTACTGGAAAAACCATAGCTTTGACTAGACGGACCTTTGTTGGCAAAGTAATGTCTCTGCTTTTTAATATGCTGTCTAGGTTGGTCATAACTTTTCTTCCAAGGAGCAGGCGTCTTTTAATTTCAT